TGGGGATTCAGTCCACCTGTCAGAAGCTACCGGAAAAAATTCCCCAAACCAAACTCCAGAAACCACCAATGACACAGATTGGGAGAGAGTTAATTAAAAGAGTCACAAGGATTATACTTTTACAATATATCCTAACTTTTTTTTTTTTTTTTTTTTTGATCAGGGGGCTGTGCTGGAGATTGAACCCAGGGCGCTTTACCATTGAGCCACATCCCCAGCCTTTTAAGACAGAGCCTCCTCAAGTTGCTTAGGGTCCTGCTAAGTTGCTGAGGCTGGCCTTCAAGTTACAATCCTCCTGTCTCAGCCTTCCAGATGCCCAGGATATGCTAACATTTAATATCTCCAGATGGACGGTTTTGAAGCCAAATGTAATTGCCCGTGAAGATCAGGAAAGACTGTAAAAATGCAAGCAGGGCCCTCACAGGGCAGATGGCAGCCACGTGCACAGAGCCTGGCCCGCATCCAGGTGCCAGGGAGGTGGCTGGTCTCCTGCTCCTGTAGGGAACCATGAACCAGGGCACTTGCATGATTCTAGGCACAGCCTCCCCGCTCCTCAGCACTGGGAAAACACTCCATCCCAACCTGCAGACACAGCACAGTGAAGGAGGGCCAGGCCACAGACCATTAGAGCTAAGGCACCAAGGGACGTCCCCGTGCCTCACAGAACAGCATGACAGAGGCCATTACCGTCCTCACGGCCAGGCGGCAGCCCGTGCCTGGACCAGCACTTGGGCCCAAGGACCACACTTGGATGTGGCGTCTCCTGCCTCCACCCCAAGCTGCCCTACACCCCGCAGCACTGTCCCCAGAGCCCAGCAGATGGGCCACAAGAGGAGGTCCAGAGGCACCGAGCCGCAGCAAGGGACCCGAAGAAGAGCAGATTCCTCTGTCACGGGGTCAGCGGGGGCAGCAGGCTCTCCTTGAGCCCCCTCTGGGAGCAGCCGGGCTGGCATTTCGCAGGCTGCCAGGTGGGAGCCACAGGCAGAGGCGCCGGCCGAGGGCGTGGAAGTAAAACCCACAGGAGACCAGAGACAGGCACAGAGGCACAGAATGCACGGCGCCTACCAACTGCTTCCCGCTGTAACTCGGAGCTGATTGATATTTCACAGCCCTGAAACAGAGAGTTAAAATAAAACAGAAAGGACTGCGGACTGCGAGCCCCACCGTCCACAACAAGCGAAGCAGGTGAACCTGAACCCGTGAATGCGACGACTTCAGAAGGAAACAGCCACCCCGGGCCCCCAGCCCCGGCCCCGCCACGCTCCATGGCTGCGGGGCGCGTCACTTCCAGTACTGGGTGGTCAACACCGTGGCAGGGGCATGCTCATGATGTGGCACTTGGCAGAGGCCCCTTCAGCCCTCCGTGTGAACCACCTGGCGCCACCAGCCCCCCCTTTGCAGGGCCCCTGATGACTGGCCCTTCAACCTGGCAGGACGCCTGGTGGCCCAGGGCAAGAAGAACTGAAGGCCACCTTCCCAGCAGGAGGCCCCCTGTGGTGAGCCCAGCAGGTGCCCTGGGAGGATGGGGCGAAGGGCTCTGCCAGGGCAGGGGGCAGACAGGAGGGCCCTGGACCTGCCCAGCAGAGCCAGCCTTTCACCTGAAGTCCTGAGAGCAGGGACAGGGTCTCACGTCGTCACGGGGAGAAGAAGGAAAGGCCGGGCACACAAGAGAGCCAAAGCCGTCCCGGGGGCCTGGAGGTGGCAGGGAGCGGCGCCCTCCTGAGCTGTGGCGGGTCCAGAGGGGTCGAAGCACCTGCCAGTTTCCAAGGACAAAGCTGAGGGGTCCCATCGGTCATTCTGAATCAACCCCCGTGGGCACCGCGGCTGACATCGGGGGCCTCAGTCCGAGGCTGGGGGCCTCAAGCGCGGGTGGCCTGCTCCAGAAGATTTCCATGACCTTACTCACATCTACCCCTCACCCTGGGATGCCCCTTCTCTCCCTGATGGTGGCCATTTGTGTCCCCACCAGGCTTTCCGATCAGTCCTGCTGGAGAGCTACCCACTGTTGATCTCACCGTCGGGCCAGCCTCTGGCTCCTGCGTCCTGCAGTGTTTCCTGGCTCCTGTCCCCGGCTGACAGGTGGCTGTTTTCCTCCTGCTTGCTCACGTTCCAGTCGTGGCTCCAGGTCCGCCTTACGCAGCTGTGGGCTTGGCTGCTGAAGCGAGGCGGGGTGTTGCCTCATGCAAGCGCTCCGTGCTTCAGAGCTCCCGCCAACACTGCGTTGGCTTCAGCCTGCGAGGTTCAGTAGATTTTGTCCTCATTCTTATTCATTTAAAACTATTTTTTAATTTCCCTTGTGAAGTTCACTCATTGGTTTTTTTAAAATATCTTCATTTTTTATTGATTGACTTTATGTGATCCTGAGATTCAAACCCAGTGCCTCCCACACCCCAGGCAAGTGCTCTCCCCCTGAGCCACAGCCACAGCCCCCACTCCTTGGCTCTCAGGTGTGACTGGTTAATCCCCAGCTCTTCCCTGTCCCTTGGTATGGATGTCTACTCCAGCTCTGCGGTTGGGTGGGCCTGCTGTATGGTCCAGGTGTGGGCCACGTCTCTCTGACCGCTCGTTCTGCGTGAGACCAACGTCAGGCCACATCGGCTGTGCTAGTCCGTCCACTTCCCGTCATGCCAGGAGGAGAGCTGGGCTCTCCACCCCGTGCTGTCAGGTGACACCAACGTCACTCCATGTATCCTCACCTCCTTTATCTGTTGCCCACATGGATTCTCTTTTTTTAAAATATTTTTTTAAGTTGTAGTTGGACACAATATTTTTATTTTATTTATTTATGAAAACACCACGGAAAGTTAGAGGGACCCAAGTATGAGCATCTAAATGGACCATCCCAGGTGAGCTAGGGAGGACATCACCCCATCACTCCATCACCCCATCACCCATCACTCCCTCACCCCATCACCCATCACCCTCATCACCCCATCACCCCATCACCCCATCACCCATCACCCCATCACCCATCACCCCATCACTCCATCACCCGATCACCCATCACTCCATCACCCCATCACCCCATCACCCCATCACCCTCATCACCCAATCACCCCTTATCCCATCATTCCCATCACCCATCACCCCATCACCCCATCACCCCATCACCCCATCACCCCCTCACCCCATCACCCCCTCACCCCATCACCCCATCACCCCATCACCCCATCACCCCATCACCCCATCACTCCCTCACCCTATCACCCCATCACCCCATCACCCCATCACCCCATCACCCCATCACCTCATCACTCCATCACCCCATCA